ATAAATAATATAACTAATATTTGTACATGTATGAGGTGTGGTCAAAAATACAGTGAGTATTTAAATTTAAAAAATTTATTTTAGTGGAAGATACATTGCCATTCAAAATATTCCCTCCTGCTTTAAACACACTTACCCCATCATTTTTGCCACTTTCTGAAGCAGTTCTGGAGGTCATCTTTCGTCAGTGTCTTTAGTTGCACTCTTCTGCTTGCCTTAGTATCCTGAAGTGATTCAAAACATTTACCTTTCATGGTCATTTTGACTTTGGAGAAGAGCCAGAAGTTGCATGGTGACAGATCCTGTGAATAAGGTGGATGAAAACACACTGTAATTTTTTTTATTTGACAGAAATTGCCATAAAAGGTTGGTTAGTTAGATATTTGATGAATGTTTAAATTTTACAAAATTTATTGCAGTAAGTGTTATTAATCTTCCTCAAAATGCTTAACCCCCTCCACGTCAAACACTTATGCCATAAGTTTTGACAATGTATCTTTTAGTGTAATAAGTTTTAAAAATGCAAACATTCACAGTTTTTGATCATTCCTTGTGTCATAAGCATTTTGTAATCTGCTGAGATTATCAATCCCAATTTATATATGAGGAAACCAAGGTAACAGAATAGTGCCTAGGAAAACACAGATAACAAGAAGGTGGAGTTTGATTTTATACAAGTAGAAAGTATGATTCCAGAAAGGGTGCCAGTAAGCTCTTTATTATCAGCCTTATATTTGAATGTGTACATACTGGCTAAACTGTCAGGAAAAACTGCTCCTGGAAATAATTTTTGGTTAAAACTCCATTGTAGAATTAAAAAATAGAAATATGTGCTAATTAGATATGTTTTTGGGACTATTTTATAGTAGAAATGAAAAGTGAATATTTTGTTTGAAGGGTCTATTTTGGCTTATATAGTAACACTATGTAGTGTCTAGAAATGTTGATCTATAACTTCTTTTTTTTATAGCTACTATTACTCATTTCTTTGTCATGTCAGCTGACAGGGTAAAGTCATTTCATACATTACTTTATTGAATTCCTAACCATTACAGTGACATTGGTGTAATTTTTACTTGTTAGCAGTTGGGAACAAAAACTCAAGAGAGGTAAGGCAGTTCCTCAGAGATACATAGCTAGCTCACCCTAATGTGACTGACTAGAAAGTCTTGTTCTCCTGACCTGTGTATTAATTTGCTTCCCACTTACTGTATTTTATCCCCTTCTCAGTCTTCTAGGAAAATTTGTGCTTCTAAATTCTGCTCTTATTTAAAGTATTTTAAATTTTTCTCAGCCTTTAAAGTCAATATAGCTAGTGCTCGCTTCGGCAGCACATATACTAAAGTCAATAAACTATATGTGAAACATTTAATAATGCAGATATTGAGGAAATTCACATTTTATATTCATTTTTGATTCTATAACTGGAAGTAGATAGAAATTTAAGTGATCTTTAAGCCATAGTTCTTTACTAAAGAAGTTGTAGCATTTTAAATATTTCTCTTGAATATTTATTCATACAGCAAATGCATTTTTTGTTCAATCACTGTGTTAGGGATTAATACTAGTGTGCATTACTTGTTGGTAAGAGAATATCATAAATATCCTTAGGTAGTTTGCATACAATAAACATTCATAAGTTTATTGAATAGATAACCATGTAAACAGAAATTTTATGTATATGAGTAAATGCTTGTCTTTTTGTTGAAATAGAAGATTGACCTGGAAGTTTATTTTTAGTTGTTTTTGTTAAAAGTGTAATTTTAAAGTAAAATTTATTTCCTCATGGGAAATACTACAGATACATTAAAGTTTTTAAAAGTAGACTTTTTGTTTCATTGGTGATATCAAAGTTACTCAACCTACTGTCAAATTTATACCTTGAATTGTATTTTAGTGCCTTGCTGGATGGATCTGATTTCTACATATTTGGCTTTACAGGATAAATGACTATTTAAAATTTTTTTTAGAAATAATAGGAATGTAAAGATGTTTGAGGAGAACATTTTTTTATATTGAGAGATATTTATGGAGGGATGACTGGTATCAATTGATTGATTTATTGATTATCCTTTCAGGGTTATGCAGGTTCTTATTAGAATGAGATATTATGCATTCTCTTTAAGTCACATACTTTTATGCATTTAGTTGATGTGACATATTACAGATTTACAGATTGAATCTTTTTTAAAGTCCTAGACCCATAAACTCATCAAAATTATAGTACTTTATTGTTGTGGTCTTCTTTTTTTTTCGGTGGGGGGTACTGGGACTCGAACTTGGGACCTTGGGCTTGTGAGGCAGGCAGCCGCACCACTAAGCTAAATCCCTGGCAAAATTACAGAATTTTAAAAACATCTCAAATCTGGTAATACTTTATAACACTGAAAGTGGCCTTTTAAAATTAGAATTTTATGAAACTTTGAGAAGGAAAGTAAAACTTAAAAGAAGCATAGCAGTAGCTTTTGAATTTAAGTAGTACTAGGAGATTTCTTTCTTTTTTTCTGTTTTGTATCTACCCTATTGCTTCATTTGATGTATCATGTTCTGGAGGAACATAGAAAATAGAAAATATTTTAACAGTTTGGATGCTTATTGCTACTTTATGGTAACCTAATTGAATTGGAATATCCTTTCTTTGCATTTCTTTTCTAAATGGTTTTAAGGACTATTTAAAAACAATAAATGAAAATTGGAAATATCCCTGCTTGTTGCATAAACTTAGTGGTTGGGGTTTGGGGACAGACCCAAGATTAGATGATGCCAAAAGAGAAATATGTCCTATTACAATTATTTATTTGGTTATTTGCTGTGATGGGGAATGAACCCAAAGCCTTGCATATGCTAGGCATGTACTGTACCACTAAACTGCACCTCCAGCCCTTAACTATTCTGTCATAAAATTATTGTCGCATTAAATTTCATATCTTGTGACTTAGATCTGTCATGAGTCTAGATAAGAGGTGGTAGTTTCTTTTGTTCCTTAGAGTGTTTTCTTTTCCAGATTGGCCAAGTGAAACAGGAACTGTCCAGAAAGGACACAGAGCTACTGGCCTTGCAGACAAAGCTAGAAACACTCACAAACCAGTTCTCAGATAGTAAGCAACACATTGAAGTACTTAAGGAGTCCTTGACTGCTAAGGAACAGAGGGCTGCCATCCTGCAGACTGAGGTAAAAAAAATCCTGTGATTTGTGTGGAGTGATTCCTTGGCACCCTTTTGTAAACCTCTGTTGTGCTATTTTTGTTATGTTTAGAGTTGGAAATATAGATAATGTTAGGATTTATTTTTTAGAAATGTGATCAATTATGGTAGTAAAATATAAGCATCTTGTTTCAGTTCTTAGATCTGACAAATTAAAACTGGTTTGTACTTCAAAGCATATTCTTACTTAACTTTCAAATGAAAAAATAATTATAAAAAAGAAAGCATTGATTTAGAAGCTTTAATTCTCATCCACAATTAATTGTTATGTGTAACAGTGAACTTGGTTACCCTATTTGGATTACACATAGTGCCTTTAGTTTTTTTATAGTATGAATAATTTTATGAAGAGAAACTGTGGTATCTGTAGAATTTGAATATGTTCTAAATGTAGTTTTGAGCCATGGATTAGTAGGCAAAGATTCTGTTTGAAAATAAGGTTAATGTTTTTAGGAATCTTAGAAAATTATTTAGGCTTTTGGCCTTATTTCAGGTAGGAATGCACAATTGCAGACAAAATTTCATCTGTTTTATTTCAGTGGTTAAGGACAAGGACTTGATGATGGTATTTGGGTTTACTGTCTTAATATAAAGACCTTTAAAAATGTTTAGTGAAATATGTGATTTAGACACGAATACTTAAATAGTTCTGCTTTATAGAAGAAAGAGAAGGCATATGATGTAGATTGTTTATTTTCCCCTTTTAGACAGACAATAGATAAATAAAGGCATAATTTAATGGAAAAGAAGGTAAAGGAGGAAAAAAAAGAATAAAAACACCATACTTTTGTACTACCAGAATCTTTAAGTATAGTGGGGAATGGGTAAAGGTATAGGGAAATGACCAAAACTATTTCCTGTCATATTCTTTTGTCCATCCATTTTCAGGGTTTGTTGTAGATGAGAAAGTTGGATGAAGTATTAGTTATTTTTTCATTTTAATCATTTTATTTTTGTCATGATATTAGCTCAACTCTATCTTACAGAGATATTTTGATTATAAAATGTAGTGGCTTAAGGCTCTGACTCTAGAGTCATAATTACAGAGTTTGGACTTCAATTCTACATTTATAACATGAATAAACTAGATAGTAGCACTCAACTCATAAGTTTGCTTTAGAATGAAACTGTATATATGTTTGGTTGCTGGTGCATACATAATCTTTATATATTTGTCATTGTCATATCATAATTGTAATAAAATCAGCTTGTATATATAGGTTATTAAGATATTTTTAAGAGAACATAGTTGGTTTTCTTTCATTGTCATACTTTTTTGGAGAATAGCTGCTCTTTCATATTTCATTGGGCTAACTTATTCAAGGAATTATAAATATAAAACTATCTGTAAGATATTACCTGCAAAAATATTAATTAATGGCTTCATATTAGTTTTTCGCTTTAGTAGCTTGTGCATGCAGAACTACAAAAAGGTCAGTAGAGGGTGCCAGTGTCTTAGAGGTGGGCCTTGTATCTAAGTTTGCTACTGTGATAACTTTGGATAAAGGTGGCAGGTGTGAAAACTGAAGAACCAAGCAGTTGGTAAGTAATAATGCAAACATTGAAAAGCTTTTCACAGTCTAATAAATGACTCTCCTCCCTTGGCAATCTATCCTTGTCTTTGTACCCAACTCAAATAATGTTCTTATTAGATAGGTCTCACATAGATGGGCTCCTGATTGGTTTCTTGAACCATATAGAATAAAGACTATATTTGTCATCATTCCTGGATGGTTTTTAGCTATTGTGGGAGTAGCTGATTATCCTAGTAAGTTACTAAAACAGCTGCTTAACCACAACCATCTCATCCTAAATAATTAGTATGAAAGCTAATTTAGATTTGAATTTGGGGTGATTTTAAGAATGTAATATGTTTATTTATTAGCATTTACTATAAAAATTTTCACTGACATTCAACAAGAGTTACCTTTTCCAGGGCTGGGGATTTAGCTCAGTGGCACCGCACCTGCCTCCTGAGTTTGATCCCTGCCACTGCCAAAAAAAAAAAAAAAAA